CGGCCGAGCGCCCCGCCCCCAGCCACTCCCCCGGCCGGTGGGCTGCGGGGTGCCGGCTCCCCTACACGATGGCGAACTGGCAGATGTAGGGCAGCTTGTCGCGGCAGCGCTTGTCCGACCACTTGCCGCCGGCCGCGCCGGCCAGGGCCGCGCAGTTCTCCGTCTTGCCGCCGTCTGGCTGCGCGGTGATCTCCGTCTCCCAGTTCTTGTAGGCGATTTGGTGGCCGGTCATGTCCACCCAGTCGCCCTCGGCCTTCATGTCGTTGAGGCCCAGCCAGATCTCGGCCTCGCCGCCCACGCTCTGGCGCAGGTAGTCGTACATGGCGTCGTTCTCTGAGCCGGTCTGGGGGGTGCCCAGCGTGCCGCCGCGCGAGATGCAGTCCTCGCTGGCCTCGTGGAAGGTCTTGGCCTGGGCGAAGGCCAGAAAGCACTTCATGTGCACCTTGGTGCCCTTCAGGCAGACTGGGAGGGGGAGAAGTGACTGTCACTGGGGGTTTCTGGGGTCCCCAGGCAGAGCCCTCCTCCAAACCTCATCTCCTGCCCTGCTCTCCGCTTGGAATCCCTTTAGCAGCTAACTCCTGGCCCCCTCAGAGCCCCACTGTCATTCCCTGGGTGCAGGGAGGCCCCCCCACCCCAGCTCCGGGTTGGGATGTCTGCAGAGACACACTAGTTGTATTTGCTGATTGCAGAGAGAAGGGGCAGAAGGGGAACCCTGATTCTCTCAACACTTTCAAGGCCTGCAGGGCTCAGGAGCAATCGGGTTATTAAGGAAATGATCTTCAGGTGTGGTGGCAGAGTGAGCGGGACTCTCCTGGGAACCAGGCATGGCGGTGGTGGTTGGGGGTGGGGGCCCAGGCGCGCACAAAGCTCAGACACAGACACCTCAGAGCTGCCCTGCAAACCTCCCCCATCCTTCCACTTGCAGAGGAGGTGGCTGAGGCCCACAGTGGGGCTGTGTTCTTTCTAAGTTCTGTGACGGGCACCGTCGGTTGATCCAGCCAGCACCCCTCCCCTGTCTTTTTTCCCTTGCCTGCCTCCACCCAGCCTGGGAAGACTGTCCTTGCATTGAAGCCGCAGCTGTTCTTTTTGGTTAAGTTGTTAATGATGTTTTCTGTTACTTGAAGCCAAATGTACTTGGTTCCCCCCCACTCTCCATGTGACCCAAGATGTTCAAATCCATGTGTTTGTCCTTCCATCAACAAAAATGTACTGGGTGTTGACAGGTGGCCAGCGCTATGCAGGGTGGTGGGAGAGACAGGGCTAGCAAAGGCCTGCAGAACCCTGATCGTGAGGCCCTGACCATAGGCTAACGGGAGAAGAAACACAATCAACTAATGAATATGCCAGCAAGGAAGGCCTCTCTGCTGGCGCAGGGGCTCAAGGCTCAGCTCTAGCAAGCTATCACCAGCCAGTGCCACACGAGTTCAATCCTTGGCCAGGGAGCTGACCCAAATGGCACAGCAGACCTCTCCTGCCCCGCCCACTGTTCCCTGTAGCAGTGTATTTCAGTGGATCTGCCTGTTCTGCTCCCCACTCTGTGTCTGGTGAATCCTCTCACCACAGCACCTCTGGCCTGTACCCCAGTTCTGTATGCATAAATAAATAAATCCCACCTCAGCATACTTATGATTAAAAGAGACAGTGCCAGCCAGGTGCTGACACCTGTGAGGTGTGTGCCCTCTGGGACGGTGGAACTGAGTGGAGGGTCTCCTGGAAGCCACAGAGCTGGGCGCTCTGGGTGGGAAGTAACAGGTTCCTGTGGGAGAGCTTTGTGTCCTTAGGAGACATTTCCTCTTCCACCATATCAGGTCTCCCTGGAAAGGCAGACCGGGGATGGGCCTCCCTGAACAGGTGCCCTGGCCTGCGGGGCTGGAGCCCTGGCTGGACCACGCTGCCGGCTGCCCCCTGAGGCCTCCGGGCTGGTGTACCCCCAGACCACCTCTTACCTGTCTGCAGGGCCTGCTGCTCCTTCAGCAGCGCCACCTCCTGGGCCAGATTGTCCAGCTGGCTCTTGAATTCCTCGAACATCTTGGGGCCCACAGCATCTAGGAGCAAGGCAAAAGGGAAGGCGAGATCATCACAGACACGGGAAGGAGGCAGGAGGGAGGACAGGGCGCGGTGGACGTCACCGCTGCCCACCTCGAGGAGACAGGCAAAACTCCCCTCGACCTCAGTGCTGTGCCTTTCTTCCTCTGGCAGTCGCTCTGTAAGTGCTCCCGATTTCCCTTCCCTTGCTCCTGCTAAAGTGAGCCCCATACTGCAGCCGCTCAGGATTGTAGCTGGGGTCAGATGCAGTTGGGACTGGCAGGGGGAGGGTGGACGGCATAGGCAGAGCCTTCAGTTAGCCCCAACCACCTGCCCACCCTCAGCTGCGGAGAGCAGAGCACAGAAAGCAGGGCCAGGCCTTGCGATCTCCCTAGTTCACCTCGGCCAGCTGGAGGAATCAGAGAGACCAGAGTGGCCGGTCTGCTAGCCTGAGGCCCAGAGGACAGTGCGGACAGGAGTGGTGTGGACTCAGCATGGGTGACCTGGGGCGTGTTGCTCAGGATCTCTGCATCAAGCTTCCTTGTCTGCAACATGAGATAACACCCCGTGTCAGAGGACTCTGGAGAAGACTAAGAGAAATCACAACGTGACCCGTGCATAGCTTGCAATCAATCTTGCGACGTGGGCCAGGGGTCTTCTGTACACCAGCATTGCTTCCTGGAGAGGAAACTGAGGCCAGGCTGAAGCAGCTCTGCTCCCCATGGCCCAGGCCTGCTCTTCCAGCTCCAGGCTCATTGCCAAGAGGAGCTCCCCTGTGCTCCCACCCGCTCCTCTCGGAGTGCTTGTAGGTGGCGAGAAGCAGCTTGCAGTGTGTGTAAGTTGAGAGCTCTGAGGGTGGACCCCGTTCTTTCTAAAATCCCAGGGGCCTCCGGAAGGCTGTGCTCAGCGGGGGCCGGAGGGCGGGGAAGCACTTCCACAGTCCACTTGGCTGTGCTGCCTCAAGTCCACGGTCATAAGGGCTGAGGTCAGAGCCTCTGCCCACCTATAAGATGCCTTTGCAGGGTAATCACAGGAAACAAAGGCAGCCAGAAGCACAATTGTGTGTACAAAAATACCGATGGAGCTTATCGACTATGAGGAAAGTGATACTCAGATGAGCCAGGCAGAGCAGGAGGGCTCGGAGTGGGAAACTAGTCTGACCCACTTAGTGAGCCTGGCTCAGGCCTCTGGCTCCGCCGTCCCCAGCGGCTCTGGCTCCAGTCACACGATGCACCCGCACAGGGCACCGTGTGAAGCTGGACAAGGTGGCCACTGCGCAGGGTCCACCTGGTCAGACCAGAGAAAGGGTGTCTCTCCACACACCATACACAGGTTCTGTTTCCATTACTGAGGTGCCTGTGTGTGCCGGGGGCCTCCAGGAACTGCGCTAACTCCCAGCAGGTGTGGGGTAGCGTCTCCAGAGCTCTGGGCAAGGAGGCAGGAGGCGCCTGTGTGATCCGCCTCCCAGTCTCAGGTCCCGAGAACGTGTCTCCACAGGCCGATCGCGCACAAGGCCCGGAGGCCCAGGGAGCCCTCCGGCTCCCAGCTCTGCCACGTGTCCCTGAGAGCTCCAACCTCCAGAGCCTTCCCTGCCTACCTCACTCTGGCTGAGCCGCACACAGCCACACCCCGAGGGCACAAGCAGATTGAGCTCCCAGAAGCACCCTGGGGGACCCCCTCCCCTCCACCCCAGGGACAAGGGGTGCTACGAGGTGTGCAGGCTTGGCACAGGCCATCTTCTCTCCCCTTCGCGGGGTGCCAGCTCGTACTCAGCCTCTGCACTGGACTCCAGCACCCCTTCTGTGTGCTGGCACCTGCAACTCGACTGCTCCTGGGGTTGCCCATCTTCCCAGCTATTCCTAGGAATCCCTGGAGATTTGTGGAAAAGGCAGGGCCTCCCAGAAGAAGTCTATGCATGTGGAAATAGGCATTTTTATATAAATCCCCTTTTTACAACAAATGTCAGCGCAGGACTGACTCTCTTTTCAATTTTTCTTTGTTTGCTTTATAAGCTGAACCTTGGAGATGTTTTTCTACCAGTACCCAGACCTGCCACATTCTCTGTCGCAGCCCCTCGGTCTCCCCAAGGGGAGCTAATGCACCTATGACCTTCGCTCATCTGCAGCCAGGGACCACACTGCCCCTTTATACCGGAGACCCAGAGAGGGGTCTGAGGGCCGCCACACCACTCCGCCTGGCCTTTTCTGCACACTTGCCCCTGGCTGCCTGTTTCTCAGTCTATTTTTTTAAGTCTTATCCATGTATATACACAAGAACTGGGGTAAAGGCCAGAGGTGGGGGTGTAAGAAGATTTACCAGAGACAGAGTGGGGAGCAGACCAGGCAGATGGACTGAAACACACTGCTGAGGGGAGCAGCAGGTGGGCCAGGAGAGGTCTGCTGCACCTTGTGATCGGGGTCCCTGGCTGGGGATCGAGCCCGTGCCACAGTGGCTGTCACTGCCTCATAGTGCCGTGCTCCAACGCATCATGCATCATGGAGGGCTCTGTCTGTCTGAACCCACACTCTCATCTTCTGGAATGCTCTCTCCTGGCCTTGGGGACCAGTGGGAGGGGGGTACAGCCCAGTTCATTGCCATGACATTTCACTATGTTGTCTCAACACAGTGAGGGTGACCTCACTGCAGGCAGGGCTCCAAGGGCAGTCTGCCAAGGCAACCCCAGGACACCCTAAACCCCTAAGCCCCAGAGGCGGCAGAGGAGAACAAGGCCTGCTTTGGGGTCCTAGCTTGAACGTGAACATTCTTACTTTCTTAAGGTGTTTGATAACACGGTAGAACTGACGGGGGCATCTGGAGAGCTGACTCACCTCTAAGTGAGAATTCACTTGTTCCTTTCCCCCTGAGCAAGGACGTCCTGTTTGCCAGGCCCTAGACTGGGCACTCTGTGTATTTTCTATTATTAAATCCTCCTGGCAAGTGTCTGAGCAAACGCCTCTATCCCCATTTTACAGCTGAGAAGCTGCGGCTTGGAGATGACAGAGCAGTACCAGGTGGCCGAGACAAGAGTCAAGCGTGTCTAGACTGCCAAGCGCAAGTTCAATTTCTATGAAAAATCAGTGGTTTAGAGAGGAGGGAAGTGGACATCCGCTTAGATGATCTGGAAGGGTCCTCTGAATCTGAGTCAGTGATGCTTATAAATTCCTTTAACTGCCCCTGCCCACCCACCACTCCATTCTCCAGCGGGGAGAGCCCCGCGGGTACATCACTGCAGTTCCCTGGACTCATCGAAGAAAATGAGGGGAAGGAGCTTGGAGATCAATGAAGAAGCGGTGACCCTGGGAGATGGGGAGGGCCCCACCCCCTCCTTACCTTTCTTGGCATTTGCAGCCTTCCTCACCTTGGGGGTTGGTGGCTCAGCAGTGATCTGAGTCAGGAAGGAGAAGAGACACAGGAGCAGGTAGGCCCCCCAGAGCGCCATGCTGCTGCGCCGGCTGGGGCTGCTGCGGCTGCTGTGGCGGAGGCCGCCAGGGCTGCACGTCTTAAGGCAGCAGCCACGGGGCTCTCTGTCCAGGAAACCCTCCCAGACTTGGCTGCGGGTGTGCAAAAAAAAAAAAAAGTCTGCAAAAGGGGGAAGGCTTGGGAGCCATGGAGCCTCACCCTCCCAGCTTCCTGGCCCAGCCTTCGAAAATGGAGCTGCATTTCCCAGGACTGAGCAGCGAACACGCTGGCTGCCATAATCCCGGAGCCCATGGGCAGCTCCCCTGGGCAGGAGCTGGGCTGTCAGCTCCCTGGAGGCCTCACGCAGCACCTGGAGGGTGTGTCATTTCCCCACTTTACAGTTGAGGAAACCGAGGCTCGGTTAGATGAAGGGACCTGAGCAGGATCTGACCCAAGCAGGGTGACTCCCAAACAGGGCACCTCTGATGGCCCTTCAGAGTGGCCAGAGCAGCTGCTGGCCAAGCAGGACGCATGTTGGGATCATTCAGTGGTGCCGTCTCCAGGCACCGAATGGTTAAAATACAAGGGAGTCCTCCCTTTTCTTCACCTTCTTTTCTCCAACGGAGATGAGCCCAGTGGGAGAGGACCATGGAGCCCCAAAGCGGTGTCAGAGATGTGGGGAAAAATTGTGTCTCTGAGAAGGGGGGCCAATGTGGGTGTCAAGTCCCAGTCGGGTGGAAGGGGTATCATTCAGGGGAGCTGAGTGAGGAGTTGGGAGTCCCGGCAAGGAGAGGCAGGGATCCAGTGGGAGTGGGTGGGAGCAAACCTGACAGAGGGGTTCGGGGGGCCCTGTGGCAGAAGTAAGGAGCTACACTGCTCGTGTAGGAATAATGACTCCATAAAAGACAATGGGGGCCCTCCCTGGTGGCGCAGCAGGTTAAAGCACGGCACTGAGAAGCTAAAGCCACTTCTGCATGAGTTCGATTGCCGCCTGCCCCGGAGGAGACCACATGGTGTGGCAGACCTCTCCTGACCCGCCCGCTGCTCCCCTCAGCAGTGTACTTCGTCGATCTGCCTGTTCTGTTCCCCACTCTGTCTCTGGTGAAGCCTCTCACCACCCTGCGCCTCTGGCCTGTACCCCAGTTCTGTATGAATAAATAAATAAATCTTAAAAAAAAAAAAAGACAATGGGAGCCTGGTCTTTCATCAGAGAGTGGAGTTATAAATATGGAGACCAAATGAGAGTGACTCCCAAGGAACAGGGTGAAAACAGAGCTATTTACAGTTGTGGACTTCAGCCTGTGAAGATGGACCCATAGATTTAATGGAAATGTGAGGAAGTGTACCCCAGCTCGCACGGGCAAGCCTGGGAGCAGCAACCCCTCCAAAGCCTGCAGCCTCCCAGCAACGACTACCCGCTTCTTAAGGGGATCAGAGCACCTTCGAGAAAGGGCTGAGTCCAGGCGCGGTGCAGGAAAAGCAGAAAATTATCCTAGAATAGCTGTTCTTCCAGGAAGCAAGGAAACACTTGAAGAAGGGTGGGGCATGACAGCAGCACCCCCACAGCCAGCTTTCAGGGGCTCCCAAGGGCCAAGGTGGAGGACAGCCTGAGCATGAAACAGTGAAGGTAACAAAACAGAATCCACCGGTGATTTCACGGGGGTGGAAGTTGTCATACCATCAAAGTGCCCACAAAGCACTTCTTACAGGGCAAAACAGGACTTCACAGAAGTCTGGAAACCACCGCCTGAATCACGTGACCCCAGGGCCGGTCACCCCTGAGCACCTGCAGCACCAGAGCAACTGTGGGACTGTGGGGAGACCAGTGAGGCATCACTTTGGCTTTGGTGGGGGGCAGGTGAGAAATATCTGAGGCCGCTACAAACAACGGGGCCATTTCAGACTGAGGGAAACTGAAGACACCAGACACGCGACTGCACCGCGTGGATCTGGGCAGGTGACCTGTGCCGCTGGGAAGGACAGTGGGGCTGGCGGAGGGCAGGATGAGGGAGGGCACAGGCCAAGCCCGTCGCCGTCCTGACACCTGGTGTCTGATGATGGGGTAGGAATCACGCTCACCAGCCATTTGGGCAAGTGTTCTTTGTTCCAGAGTTGCAATTTCCTGTGAGCTTGAGATTATCCAAAAAGAACATACAGTACTATGTCATTCAGGCTTTTCTTCCAGGGCTCCCGCCCAGCCCTGCGTGGCTTGAGGAGGGGTCCCCGCTGGGTCCACACTGTGGCCCCTGCTTGGTTGGCCTGGGCGCCACGGTGGCATCCAGGGAGGCTGGGGCAGGCAGCAAGCACTGTCACGGCGTGGTGATGCTGGCCTCCTCATGGAGAGGGCTTTACATTCACACCCGGCCTCAGAGGGCTGGGCCCAAGATTACACAACCTTGCAGGAGCTCTGCTTCCTGGAACTCTGGGCTCCACATGAAGAGGAAAGCTCGCTTCATTATTCTCTCTGTGCTTTTGCTTCTTTGCTTTTCTTGGTTTTCTCCTCTTGGCTTTTAATGAGAGGGAGAGGGCAGGAGTCTGCTTTCCAAAGATGAGGTAGTCAGAGGCCCCAAGTTGTGTCATGGCCGAGGCCCTGCCCTGGATATATTGGGGAGAATGTTCCAGAAAAGCCTTGCTGTGGCAATTCAGAAAACTGGGACACCCTGGGTGGTTGGCTGCTCCATGTCTCCACGCACCAGAACCACACCCGGAGTCATGATCTGTCAGGACACGCCTGGGAGTGTTGGCACCCCATCAGTCCCTGCTCACTCCAGTGTGCCTGGGGCTGTGTAAGGGCCTGGGGGGTTCAAAGTAAGAGGCCCACGCTGCATCACTAGACTGCACAGGGGCATCCCAGGGCACCTGACACAGCAGGGCAGGGCGGGGAAGGAAGGCAGCCCCCAAGCTGAGGAGGGGACAGAGTGGCTGGCCAGGGGAGGGCAGGCAGGGAAGGAAGGAATTTGGACCACACTCCAGGCTTGGAACCTAGAGAAAGTATGACACATCCTAGATCCTGGGCACGGATGTCAGGGAGGGGATAAAGCCAGAGATGCAGATGGGGCCAGATCGCCAAGGGCTATTCAAGCCACATTAAAAGTCTTTGGACACCAGCAGGAGGAAGTGGGAAGCTGATGAAGAGCCGAGCTGGGCAGGGTGGTGACCAGCTCACAATATGGGAGGAGTGTGCTGGCTCTGGGTGGCGCATGGACTAGGGGGCCCAGCAAGGTAGCAGGGAGCTATTAAGCATGTGTGCAGCATTAGCCCCAAACAAGATGGGGCCACACCTTCACGGGATGGGGGCGGGGGCTGACTCTCTCCTGCTCAACCTGACCTCTCCCTTTGCACTTCAGGCGAAGGTGGCCTCAGAATTCACCACTGAGTAGTGAGCGCTATCTGTGGGCTTCCACCCTACAGGTTTCTGTGGGTGTAGGTATGGGCGTGCACACTGGACAGAACTCTCCAAGCAGTCCAGAGTAATGATTTAATGTAGAATCACAGCAAGGGACTGTTTTTGGCCTGAGGCCACCTCCATGTCTCCAAGGAGACACAGCCCCAGAGGGACATCAGTTGGCCCAGAGAGAAGACAGGTCACCACAGAACTACAAACTTGTACCATCACCGGCCCCTGTGGGAGGCTCAGAACATCATTCTAAAAGGAAATCTTGGGTCGTGAGTAGCATGTTGCCCTGCATCTATTTGCATATATTGCTTAAGCGCACTATTTCATCAAATGTAAACATGGAAGAGCCATCCCCATTTTTGTCACCCTGTTCTGGCATTGCATTTTTTTTTTTATTATTATGATCATTTATTTTTACATCATTTTGTGCCTTTTTCTATCTCAGTTGTAATCCCCGTGGGCACTGCGTTATTTTTAAATTGCTTCAGTGGAGCTGGAAAAAATGCAGATAGTTATGTCCACCATCTCTGGACCTCCGAATCAGAAAGCAGGTTGGAAGAGGCCCTGTGGCCTGGCCTCCCTTGACAGGCTCTTCCCTCTGCCCGTCCAGTCTCTGTGCACTTGCTTGAACCTTCCCAGGACCAGCTTCTGCAAAGCAGTTGTTTCTATTGCAAGATGTTCGGCTTGTTATGCAGTCCCTGTGGTGAGCCAGGCAGGCCCCCCAAAATACCACCGATGGGTCCCGGTGCCATGTAAGAGGCAGGCAAATATTCTAAACGATTGTCCTTTGCCGGTCTCTACACCATGTTCCTTTCTCTTTTCTCCCAAAGCTTCCTCTATATTGTTCCTGGACTTTTTTTTTTTTTTTTAATCGTCTGAAAAATCACCTTTGGCTACATTTCTGCTAGATTTCTGCTTGGTATTGACCTCATTGTGGTGTAGCTCCCAGAACAAACCTATTTGCAGAGGCCTGCCCGGGGCCTCCTGAGCACCCTAGTCAGAAGCAAGAGGCACAGGCCCTTTGCAGCCACCATGCCTCACCTACAGCCAGCGCCGAGTCCCTGGCATCCAATACCCAGACCCCTTTGTCCACCCCAGCTCTCCCTGCCCATCCTAACAGCCCTTTGTGGGGGTGCTGGGAGTCTACAGATTTCATCTAGTAGCAGGGAAGCTCCCCGTGTGCAAGTCCACAAGGTCTTGGGGGTACTTTCAGCCAGGCTAATGTTCAAGAGCACCCCCATTACTGGACATGTCCACACTCAGGGCCCAGTCCTTTTGTACCTGTTTCCCTGCACACAGCATGATTTTGTTTTTTAAAGATTTTATTTACTTATGCTTACAGAAATGGGGTACAGGCCAGAGGTACAGGGGCAGCGAGAGGACTCACCAGAGACAGAGTGGGGAGTGGAACAGTCAGATCAACAAAGTACACTGCTGAGGGGAGCAACAGGCGGGTCAGGAGAGGTCTGCCGCGCCATGTGGGTCACCTCTGGGGCGGGGCTCGAGCTCACAAAGTGACCCCAGCTTGGCTTAGCGTCCCAGTGCAGCACTCCAACCCACTGCGCCACCAGAGAGGCCCCACAAAGCCCAGAGGTATTAAGTCAGAAGAGAGCTCTATGAAGTACATTTCAGTTTTCAGGGTTTTGTAGGGTTGTTTTTTCCCCCTCCAAAGCTGTTGGAAGTATGAGTTACACAAAACAAGCTCTTGTCACCCCACCCATGTGAGCCCAAACAATGTAAGAACTCCTGGCCCAACATGGAGCACCCTCCACCCGCTTCAGGCCTCACAGATGTTTTCTTTTAGCTCCACTGGCCCCTTGTCAACAGATGGGGCCAGACCTATGGAGGCAGAGAACTCTGTTCACTCTTTTCAAAGATAAGCTCACCTAGGGTGTCCTTAGCCAAGACACCCAAAGGGCAGTCCTGGTCCTTAATCCAATTCAAAGACAAAGGACCTGTAAGCCTGCCCTCAGTGACTCTCATTAGGAAAGTCTTTGTTCCTTTTCAAATGTGTGCCGGGCCCTGGGGCAACAATACTGCTGGGGGTGGGAGTGGAGGGCAATGTGCCACTCAGCCAAGTGCCCAGCTCTTGTGGGGCCCATCGTTTGTCTTGTCCCACAAGATTCGCAGCATCCTCGTGGACAGAAAACTGGAGTCCTAGGTTCCAAGTCTGACACCTAGTACTTGTATCCCTGAGCAAGTTGTTCAGGACCCAGATTCTTCCGGATTTTTCTCAAGGAGCAAATGGAGGTCCCAAGTGTAGGCTAACAGCAAAGGTGTGGGAAGGACTGATCCAAGACACGGCACGGCCCTCAGGTCTCTGTTCACCCCTTTTATTCTTTCTGCTCCAGGAAAGGGATGATAAATTACCTAATTTCTACATTTGGGAGGAACAAATTGGGCATACTCAGCCGTTTCGCATCTGCCGGATGTCTTTAGTTTTAATGGCTCATACATAAAGCAAGCGTGGTGCATTCTGAGATCCTAGACTTTAACCTGCCTTATTCACACCCCTCGCCCTCCCCACCCCATTAAGCACTAGGATTTAACCGATAGAAACCCAGCTATGTACTAAAGAAACCTGAAGTTTCCAAATCCTCACAAGCCTCAAATTAACAGCCTTGTCAGGAATCTTGCCCTCCCCCGCCCCACACTCCCAAATCCCTCTGTACATTAGATCCTCAGCCATGCCCAGAATACATAAATGACCCCATGGAAGAAAATAACTGGCAATAAACTGCTCGCTTCAGACCTTCCTTTTTCTCCAACCTTTCAAAGAATTAACTTAGGGTTTCATTCATTCTCTAGTGATTTCCTGTCTTTAATTTCACTGAGTTCTGCTCTAATCATTATTTCTTTTCTTCTTCTAGTTTCCTAAGGCAGAAGCTTAGCTGAGTGAGTTTAGATCTTTCCTGTTCTCTAATAGGTTCAATGTAAAGTTAAAAGTGTCCCTGTAGCCCCTGCTTTTGCTTTGTACAAATTTGCTAACTTGCTTTTACTTTCACTTAGTTCAAAATACTTGATTTCACTTGAGATTTCTTCTTTCACCCATGTTAGTTAACATGCTTAATCTTCATGTTTATATATATATGTAGAACCATGTTCTAGCTCTCTTTCTGAAATTGATCTCTAGTTTAATTTTGTTGTGGCTTGAGATCAAAAGTTGTATGGGTTTCCAGTCCATTAACGTGCTAAGGTGTTTTTTATGGCCTAGAATTTGTCTATTTTGGTGAACAATCCATGAGATTTTAAGAATAAGTATTTGACTACTGATGCATGAGGCAGTCTACATGTCCATTTAGAATTAATCCAGGTGCACTTTCAAATAATACTACATCTTCACATGCAGAGAACTTTAATAACAAAATAATCTTAATTCCTCCCTGGTGTCATTGATAGCATTTATTTTGCTTACATATATGTAAATACATAAGCATACCCAATCTAACACATTGTTGCTATCATTTCTAAGCTATCTGTAGGTTAAGAATATGAAAAAAAACTTTCTTTTACCTTTATTCCTTCTCCAAGGTTCTTCCTATGTAGATCCTATATCACTTCCTCGTCTGTCAAATTTTTTTAGCTGTATTGAGAAATAATTGACACTTATCACTGAGTAAGCATGAAGTATAGAGCAAGATGGTCTGATTGCTTTTATTGTGAAATGATTGTCACAATAAATTCAATTTCCATATCAGATACAACAAAATAAGAAAAAGGGGGGAAATTCTTATAGCAAAAACCTATTAGGATTTACTCTTTCCTGTATATCATACAGCACTATTAGTTATCGTCATCAAGTTATACATTACATCCCTGATATAAAATTGGATGTCTGTGCCTTTTCATTTCACAATCAAGTAAATTAAAAAACATTGTAGTAACCCTTAAACTTATAAAGTGATACATGCGATTATTTCTTAATAAAACTGAGAAGGGACAAATAAAATTGGAGAATCCTCCACTTTCCCACCCTGTGATTCTGATAACTACAAGTCTGATTTCTTTTTCTGAGTTTGATTTTATTTATTTACATTACTTTTTAAAAGGAGTATTTATGCATACAAGAACTGGGGTACAGGCCAAAGGTGTGAGGAGTGAGAGGATTCACCAGAAACAGAGTGGGGAGCAGAACAGGCAGATGGAATGAAACACACTGCTGAGAGAAGCAGGACAGGGACAGGAGAGGTCTGCCGCGCCCTGTGGGTCACCTCCCTGGCTGGGAATTGAACTTGTGCTGCAGTGGCTGCTAATAGCTTCATAGTGCTGCTAAGTATAATGCCCCCCAAGTCCATTATTGTTTTACAAAGGGTAAGACTTCTTTTTTGGTGGTTGAATAACATTCCAGTGTATGTGTTTATCATTTACAACAATCAAGTTATGAAAACAACCTAAGGATCCATCAATGAGGGCACAGACATTTTTTCAAGTTAGTGGTTTTGCTTCCTTTGGCTGTCTTCCTAAACGGAAACTGGGCTTTCTGGATCATAGGGTAGTGCTATGTTCAATTTTGAGGACTGTGATCTATAATGGTGACCACTGACAATCCCACATGGGGGCTCCCTTTTCTCCTGGTCAGTGCCATCCTATGCTGATTCTTGTTCTCTACATAACAGCCTTTCACATAGTCATGATTTTAATTCGCATCTTCCTAATGATTAGTGCTGTTGAGCAACTTTCATGGATCCATCGGCCTTACTTATATCTTCTTTGGAAAAAATGTGCATTAGGCCTCCCCATTTTTTAAATGGAGGGTTTTGCCAGTGAGCTATATGAGTTCTTCCCTTACTTTCCCCAGCCCCAAGTTCTTATTTGCCTTTTGATCGACTCTGATGTTCTTCATCCTGATTTTTATTGAATGGCTACTTCCGACAACTGGTTCTGCTGCAAAAGGCAGTGAGTCTCTCCAGGGCAGTGCTTTTGGCTAGTCTGTCTGCAATTTTCTCTCCTCATATTCTTCCTGAGGGCTGCAAATCAGATATTTCCCATACATGCTGTCTCGGAGAGAACTTGTTCACTAGATGTTTTGTTTCTTTGTAAAGTACACTTAGTACAGGTAGGAGTGACCTTCAAGGAAAGGTATGGGGTGACAGCAACAGATACTCACAGACCTCACTCCTGCCTTTATTTTATCTCTCCGTTTATTTTCACGCTAACTGCTTAGCCAGTCAGTCCAGCCAGGTAACTGACATACAGCTGGGCTGGAAGAGCCTCCTCTGTCTCATTTTCCTGATGGCTTTAATTATCAAGACTGAAGGCTTCTAAACTATTCGAACTCTGGCTGCATCTCTGTACCCCAACTGCCACTGTTTCATCACAGCAGTGAACCAGGAGCAAGGGAGAAGAGGACAGGCGGATGACTGCCTTGCTGGGAACACCACCATGGCGCTGGTACGGACAGTCACTGGAAAATATACAACATGAAAACCCATGCTGTACTCTCGATGGGACAGAAGTTCCGAGAGCAAATCTGGGCAGCTACTTCTCTCCACAGGGTCAGACCTGGCCATGCCAGGAAGAGGTGCCCACGCCAGGACCTCTGGAACCAGTCTGCTAGGGCTTCAGCTCACAGTATGTTCTTTCCATCAGGCAATAAATTCCTAACTCCTTACCCTATTTGTCTAACTGAAATGCAGACAGCAAATGCCATGGCTGAAATCGTCTCCCTCCTGATTCAGTTCCCACACCAGGGCTCTTAAAAAACTGACTGGGGAGTCTCAGTTCCCCTGGAAAAGAAAAACACAAACTGTTCAATCATGAACAGCCTTCGCTGCACATACTGCACCGTGAGTAGAAACAGTTACAGGAAGCGCCCCCAGAGCTGTTGAGAATGGCTTCCTGACTGTCCCCAGAGCATGAAGGCAGATTAATAATCACATGATAGCATCTCAGAAACAGTCTTCTTAATGCTGCTGAAAAAGAAAATCTTACGAAACTCCAGGGAGTGGTCATAGAGCACAAAGCAATTTTAAAACATGAGTGATAAGGTTGGTTAAGCACCAAAGTGGCTGCTAAGCCCCCACCCGAGGGAGGCTGCCTGCTCTCAGAGGGCGGGAAGAACTGCACTTCCCAAGGCCTGGCAGGCTCCTGGCAGAGTGCGCCCTGGCTTCCTCTTTCCCCAGAACACACAAATACACAAGTGAATGAACCTTATGGTGATTCTGAAAACCCTGGGCTGGGAGGGGTGGCAGGGGGAGGGGGAGCAATTCACAAAATACATGTCATGAACATTTCCTTTAGACGCTTTCCACCAGGTCCTTTCCCCTGCCCTTCCTGGTCTTTCCTGTGGCAGCCTTCTCGTTGGTTTTGAATTTCTGCAGCAGGAGATAAAGGCCTCCCTTGGGGAGGCCCTTGCCCAGAGCCCTCTCCCTTGGAACACGTCACTGGGCTTGGATGCCTTCCACTAGGGAAAGACCAAACCTTCAAGGCGTCACCAACTGGCATCCTGGCTTAAGAGTTGAAGAATTCTAGCCATCCAAACCAGATGAGAAAATAGACTTTAATTTTACATGTACAAATGTTACTTCAAATTCTTAAAATATATACAAACTTCAGCTTGACTTGAAAGTAAAAAAAAAAACAAAAAAAAAAACAAAAAAAAACAACCAACACTCCACAGCTGGGGGTGATGAGCCAGTCATCCCAGGAATCCGACTTTCTGTCTCTTGGGCCCGAGGCTCTCTTCCTTATGCAGGATACTCTGCAGGGAGGTGTGCAGCACCTTGCCCACTCGCTTGCCAGTCTGCAGGATAGAGGCAGGACAGAAAGAGTGCCACCCACTCGTGAGACATACTTGACAGGAAAAAAGAGTCCCTTTCTGCCAGTTAGCCACTCCAAGCTTACATACATTCTCTCTGCCTTACAAAACTTTCATTAAAAAAAAAAAAAA